CTTTCCCCCACGTGTTCCTGATATCTGTACAGGTTGTGCAGCGAAGGCTGGCTGCTCATTTTCAGAACTGCTAAATGACGTAGTTTTAACCCCCTCATCTGGGATGGCAGACACAGCGTTGCAGGTTCTTCGCGTGGCTCTAGGCTTCTTTGAGTTTGCCAATGTCCACTGTTCGTCCATTAGCAAGTCAGGATGAACCCACATCAATTCACCTTTAGGGGTAGTATAAGGGACCATTCCTTTCTCTTTCTTCTGATGCGGGTCGAAGTTCACCACTCTCGCCTCTGCTTGAGGAATTGGTTTCACACCGTCTTGTACCTGCACCTCGGCGAAATCTTCAAACTGAAGCGAGACCATATTCGCAGATACCTTCTTTTGCTCAGCTTGAAGGGTCATCACACCTGCGTCTAACAAAGCTTGAATCTTGTCTTTCAGGATGTAACAAGCTTTGGTTGGATGATGCACCATCTTGTGATACATGCAAAAGTTAGGATCATCGGTTCTTGACACTTCTACGTTCCGTTTTACCTCTGACAGCTTGATCTTATTCATCTTGATCAAGATGTAAGAATGGAAACCACATGTTCATCTTTGAAATCGTATTTCTTCTAAAAACGATTGTCGGAAGTATTTTCCTTCATTTGGTAGAGGATTTCGGGGATGGAGCTGTCTCAACAGCTAAGGTGTCTTTCCCTTTCGATTATTTCTGGGAATTATATCTGCCTTTACCACCTCCCTTTTTAGGCTAGGACTCTTGAGGTTCTTCAGCACTTATCCTCTTAAGCATGTTTTCTACCTGTTCTCCTTGCCAAACCAAATCTTTCCATGAACGGGCTTCAACAGCGCCCATCTTGGATAAGATATTGATAGAAAGATTGTTGCGGCACATCTCCACGAGAGTAGCTTCAGAAACTTGATCTCGTGAATGCAACGATCGATTTCTGAATCTCTTGACGAAGTCACCGACTGACTCTATCTTCTTTTGCTTCTCAGATAATAGTATAGCTATAGACACTTCAGTGTCATCGTCGAAGAATCGAGCTAAGAAAAGCCTCTCTAAATCTCTCCAACTCTGGATTGACCGTGGCTCAAGTCTGCGAAACTACTCAAAAGCCACCCCCTTCAGAGTGCTAATGAATAATCGAGTCATAATGGGGTCATTACCCACTATATGACCGATCTGCGCTTGGAAGTAATAAATATATTGGGTAGAAGAACCATTGTCGTAAAATTGTACTAAGTTGAGCGGTTTGAATTCCGGAGGATACGAGATCGCATCCTATTCGCTTGGATAAGGTCTTGACACCCCTAACTCTTTGAAATTTCCTTGAAGACTCAGTGCGTCAAGCTGCTTCTGGAAATCCTCCCACTTCTAATCCTGTTCTTTCGTACGAGGATTAGATTCTGCTTCGGACGATTCAAAATGAATCTTCACAATTCTTTCCTCATCGTCTTCATCATTGCTATTTGGTCTTCATCGATGGGTGAAGGTCGTCTTCGCCTAGATCCCGAAGCTTGGGAATGAACCTTCTTCTTCTTCTTTTCTTTCTCCTCACGGAGTCTTTCCACTATTGCTTCCAGATACCTGATAGACTCCTGCTGTTGACGAATGGTTGATTGTTGTTCATCTAGCTGCCGCGAGAGCTCTTCCTCTTTTCCTGTCATGTGAGCACTTGCTCGCTCGCTTTGGTCTGTATTGGAGAGTTGAGAAGTGGCAATGACAGAATTTTCAGGTTCTTCATCTACATCATAGGATATACCCACTAGTTTGCGGTAATCTAGCGGGATCATTGCTCCAGTACGAGAACGAGTGTGTTGGTAAACACCCTGGCTTTCAATGAGTGCCTCTCGTAATCCGGGGATCTTTCAAAATCAGAAGACTCAGAATTTTCAGCTGAGACTTTGCTTTTACCCTTGCTGGCCATGTTGATCGTCACTTCAATATGGCGATTCTTAGATGCTTGTTTCTTGGGGCGAAAGCGTCTTCTTCTTGATGATGAGACCGTCGATGGTTCATTTAACCATTCGAAGACTAAAGGCTTATGAGTTGACTCCCCACATGAACATTGGGAAAGTACTGCAGAAATGAGTTTCTCACAGCAGCAATGAGATTGCATTTGGCTCATGATGTGCTTACGCGTGAGATAATCCCGAAGGTCACCAGCTGGACAACCCCCAGTCAACTTTGTTATCTTGTCTTTACCCAGGTGAGACCCTCTGAATAATAGAGGTTTCGCGAACTTGGGTAGACTGACGAACTCCATCATTCATGTGACGACATTCGTTGGTAAAACGAGCTCGACGCCTATGCTTCCTCAGTTGGCTCTTATCATGAGGTTCGTTGCTGAACCTCTTTTTGAGAATGAGGTTCGTTGTCGGATCCTACTCAGGTACGAAGGTGAGGTCCGTCATTCAGACGTTCCTCATTCACTTGACCCTCGTCAGACTTGTTAACTTTAGGTTGATCAACCATCGGTCGATAATGAAAACCGTCTAGCAAGACCAAAGCTCTAGCCCTACGGCGAGCTTGATTCTGATGCTGACGTTGTCGAGTGCGTCTCGACAGTGAACCAGTAGGAACCTTTGCCTCAGCCGAAGCTAGACGAGGTTTGTTTTCAAAAGCCATAATTTGGCTAGTAGAAGCCGAAGTTCGGCTAGGTTGCTTGACAACCCATTTCTTAGCCTGACGGCTAGTTTCTGGAGTCTCCTCTTTAAGGGACTTGGACTTTTCCTCGAGACTAACTCGAGTTGAATCATCAGAAGCCACTTGGGCTGAAGTCTCATATGAGACTCGACGATACTTACGTGCCTTCGTGGGACTAGACTTACTAGAGGAAAGAAAATCTTTATATTTGGACTGGTAAAATTCGATGATCTGAGTCTCGACGTCCCTTCCCATAGCAATCTTGTCTGATTGCGCCACCACCACCTCGTCGGAAAGAATAGCTACTCCCACTGTGGTCGCCATCGTCTGTAGGGTCAAAAAATTGATGATTGAGTTGATTCTCTTGTTTTAAAAAAACTGGGTTCGATCACTTGGTACGAAACCCTTACAATCACTCACGATCTCTTGATTACAGAGAAAGAGAAGATTAATTCAGCTTCTCTTTTGTTTAACGTGGGTTCTTGGTAGCGAAAGGATGTTTCCCTCGATGCTTGAGTCAAGATTGCTTCCCGTTGACGATCAGATCAAGGTTGCTGGAGCTTCTGACGTTCGTTGGCCGGCTGGAATCGAGGTTCGAGCTCCGGATCCGTGCGCAGAAACTTTGATCTCTGATGCTTCTTAAAATCCAAGTCTAAAATCTCCAATTAATCAACAACCAATCAACCCATTTCTCTCTAGTCATCGATGGCTATTTATAGGGTTTTAAGCACATAACTGACATGCTATAATCATGGGTAGAGGGGCGTAACAGTCTCCCTCAAATCAGCACACACCGTAATGTGCTCCTGAAGATTAGCCCACGTGGTTAACTAAGTCTTTGGAGCCGTTACAGGTAAATCCCACGTGGATGACGAACCTCGTCTTTAATTGAAACAGAGTCCATCAAGTAAGACGAGCCTCGATGTTCGTCTTACCAAGCAAACCTTGTAGTAGACCAGCTTCTTCCGACGAATTTTGTCTTCACTGACTTCGTTTGACGAACCTCGTTTTCACTAACGAAATTCATCTTTGACAACTGAGTCCAACTACATAGCAAGTCTTGAAAGTTTCTTTTTGACGAACCTCATCTTCACTAATGAGTTCTACGTCTGGTAATGAGCTTCGAACCTCGTGTCCAATGACGAGCTTTGAATCCCATATCCACTAGTGAACCTCGAACCTCGTATCCAATGGCAAGCTCCGAACCTCGTATTCACTAGTGAACCTCGAACCTCGTATCCAATGACGAGCTCCAAATCCCGTGGATCAGTTTCATTCAATAATGAACTTTATCTTTTGATGTTAAGCTCTGCTGCGTGGCGACTCTCGTTCTCAAGGTTGATCTTCACTAAGCAACGAACCTCGTCTCTGATTGAGAAGGGGTTCGTTCTCCTGACCCTCCTTTTCACATTTCGAATTTTTGACATTTTTGAATGCCTACACCCATTCCTGTAGGAATCGGACGACGCCTGCAGTTGTTCTCCATGTGCCCGTTCCCTCCATAGCGATTCTTGAAAGCAATCTTGAAACGGTTTCCGTAGAAGAGGCTTTTAGAAAACCACATGGTTAGAAATGCAGGCTACATATCAATCCAATTTGCCTTGTTAAGCTCCGACCGTATGCAACAAATCCCCTCCTTGATTTTGTGAGCGGCATGTGAAAATCCTAAAAGAACCACACAAGATCGCCAAGCCAAGTAGCCTTCAGGCCTGGAGACCTTTTTGTCACCGACTTCTCTGTAGACTCAAAAGCAAATCGTTGCCAACGGTTTCACCTCACCAAATCATTCGGTCAGAAATGATCTCAGCAGGACTACCACGGCACTACACATTGAGCAATCCTAAGCAAACCGCATTGGGTCTAAAATAATATAACTAGAAACAAAGTCATCAATAGCAAGATGTGTTAAAAACCCTCCTGCGCTTTCTACTACCATTAACAGGTGCCAAATTAATCTATAGCAAGCTACAATGAAAACGTTTCACCACCAATTACAACAATGAGGGGGGAAAAAACCCCAAAAGACGATAACAAGCAACGAATCTTTTACAGCTGAAACTAAAACAAAGATCCTTCAATTTTCTCATCAAGAGTTCTCGCAGACAGCAGCGATCCTCAGCTGCTGCGTCGTCTTCAGGAACTGAGGGGATCGATTGGGGCATTTCGTCCTCTCCGTCAGTAGAACGCTCAACGAGCGCCGACTTCATCGCATCCCCCATTATTTTGGCCCTCTTGGAATTCTTGGCCATGACAGGTATTCGCTTACGGATTCTCCTGTCATACTCACCTTGCTCAGCAGCAGAAAGAGCTTCCTTACCCGATCTTAAAGAACGAGGTGTAGGAACGGGCTCTTCTGCAGGAATCTCCTCAGTGGTCTTTTCTTCAGGAGAATCATCAATTGGCTTTCCCTCTTCAATTCCCCAAATCCCCTTTGAATATTTGGACAGTCGTCTCCGCAGTTCAGGAACCGATCGAACCAAGCCAGCAATATCTCCTGCTGCATCGCCATCGGCAACGTCAGTATGGTATTCCCCAATCCATCCTCAATCGAGTGCCGATCCAATCATTTGCAAGCCCTCCTCATCCATCCAAAATCCTCGTAAAAGGCCTCAAGCCAAGTCCTCAGCAGCAGGCACCGAACCTCTTTCGAAACCAAAATCTGCCCCTTTCCGATTCCAACGAGCAATCTCGCCGTTACTCGGCTCACCTCGTACCTATACATCGCTGGGATTTTTGCGTGCATCGAAGATAGCTCCGTTTGCGCGGCCCAAGTTCGGAGGAACTCATCGGCGATCTGACGAACGTCATATTCCGGAATCCGAGAAGCTTCAACAAACCACTGGCGGAAGTCCATAACAGTAGAGCAGCCAGGTGATGAATGGGGTAAAGTGAATTGCGCATGGGTTCCCCCGACGGAGAAAAGGTACCATGCGCGAGCTCCTTCGTATAAATTCCCAATCTGAGCTAACGCCGGGTTAGGATTGCCAACATAGAGTTGGTCATATCCAAACTGTCTCGCGAACCGAGAAGGCATGTAAGGCTCGATTACGCACTTCTCCCGTGAGCGATAGACCAGGTAGCCCAACCTGATCATAAGAAGCCAGCTGAATATACCCTCTTCCAAAGAAGACGAGCCTTCAAAAAGCAAATCCATGAAACGAGCATCCTTAACATCAGCCCCGTCAAAGTTAGGAGCACAGCAGAAAACCTGGTAATTATCCTCTCGGGATAGAAGCTGTCGAGCCCTGACTATATAAGAACTAGTCCACGTGGCCGACTCCAATCTTTGTACGAAGGGAGTATAAGCATCACCCCCTTCATGCACTCCCGTCATTAATGAAGGGCAATGCAACACGAACCAGGCCATTAAATATGTGTATGGCACTGGTACACGTGGTTGAGGAGCTTTTCCAGCTTTCTTCTTAGCGGCTTTGACTCTCGAAGCACTGAGGAGTTCTGAAGTCAACACCCTCAGGCCATTCTGAATACAGATCGCAGCCGAGACTTTCAAGATGCCAAGCACCTTGCTCACGTCCTCCCTCATCAGCCGCCTCCGCAAATCCCTGCAGTACATCAGGCGCAGCGTCTCGATGTAGACCTCGACATCGTCGCAGTCGGAGATCTCGACCAAATGCGGCAGAGACCGCTGCTGCTTCGACCAGCGATCGGAGAGCTTCCCGGCGAAGAACCTGCTGTGGGCAACCAGAATCTGGCGGTGGACGTTGAGGGAAAAGACAAGGCCGTCCTTCGAGCTGAGAGTCAGGCGCACGTCGCTCGAGTCGAGGTCGTTGAACTGGTTGCCGGGGCTCGAGGTGGCCAGGATCTCAGCAATCCGATCTTGGAGGAGAAGCTGGCGGTTTGGGTTTTGAGCCGGGTTCGGGTTGGATCTGGGGTGGTAATCGTGCTCGTTGGCCATCATATCGAAGAGGGTTGGGCTCGATCGAGAGATTTGCTTGTCGAGCGTAGGAGGAGGGGACATTGGGTTGAGAAGGCCGGCGTTGAGGGCGGAGTTGAACTTCGTGTAGCTCGACGGGTGGTGGCGTGAGGAGGAGCGGCGGCGTAGGTGGGGCCGGGGAGTCCATGGGGGAGCATCAAGCCGGGGCCCAGTCGGCGGAATGAGGCAGGGGAGCTCGCCGAGGCGGAGGTGGAGAGGTGTTATCTTTGTGCCTGCGGCGCTTGGGCTTTTTTGATGAAGGGTAAGAGGAAGCGGCCATGATGGGCTTGGGCTTTTTGAGTTGGCGAGTAAAAGAGATCGATAAAAGACTGCCGCGTGATTGTTGTCGTGTTTTGATGAAGGGGAGAATGGACGATTGATTTGGGGCATCGGGAGTTGTGATTTTGTTTATCTGGTTTTCTTTTTGGGCGATGGGAACGAGGGAGGTGGGGAAGGAGCAATAAAGGGCGCTGCATTGGATTGAATTGAATTGATCGGTGAAAATAATAAAAGAGGGAGCGGGTGTGATCAGTGGAGAGAGAAAGAGAGAGGGGGCAGGAAAGGTACAAGGGAAGTGAGACACAAAGTTGCTCGTGGTTTTGTACGGTGCGTGTCAGTAGAATAAGTATGGGCCATGGCTCAACAGCGTGCGAGATTTAAGACGGTTGAGGCCGAAAGCGAAGAAGATCAGAGCATCTCCAACAAACTTCTAGTAGTGAGTTTGGTTGGAGTGCTCTCTAAGTACGGCGCTCCACTTAGGGGCGTAGGAGAAATATTCTAACAAACTCCCGGCTAGGAGTTTAAATAATATTTAAAAATTTTATTCCTCTAAAAATAATAGTTTATAAATATATTTTAAAATAATAAATCTAATAAAAAATAATTTTTAGTAGGCACCCACCCCTTAAAGCAAGTGTAGTAGCCTACCAAAGAGGCTCCTGAGGGTGATGTGGCAAAGAAAAGCTCCCAACATGCTCCAACCAGCTCCCAAGGAGGCTCTTAAGTCCTAGTTAGCGGTGGGGTCCACCATGAAGCTCCTAAGAGCTCCACAGATTTGTGGAGCACTTGGGAGCTCCTAAGGGTGGGGGGCTACTAAAAAATAATATTTATAAAATGTTAGAGGTAGAAGAATTGATTTTTAAATAATATTTAAATTCCTAATTGGGAGTTTGTTAGAATATTTCTCCTAGTAGGAAGCTCCTAAGTGGGCCCCATGCTTGAGAGCACTCCAACAAGAGCTCCCTACTAGGAGATTGTTGCACTTGCTCTTAGGAGCTCTCAAGTACTCCACAAATTTGTGAAGCTCTTAGGAGCTCCATGGTGGGCCCCACTGCCAACTAGGACTTAGGAGGGTGCTTGAGAGTTTGTTAGAATATCTTAGGAGCTTTTTCCTTATCACATAACTCTTAGGAGCCTCCTTGGGAGGCTCTTGGAGACGCTCTAAGAGCACAGAGTCATACACGAAGGCAATAAGAAGTTCTATAGTTTTTAAACTTACACTTGTAGTCCACTCTCATTCACTCATTTATGGCCAGGATGATCTTCTTTTTAAGTTAAATTATGTCATATCCTTAAACCATTCAGAAATGCACAACAATTTCTTGAAATTCTATTAAATGAAGAATTTGCAAAGAAAATTTTCAATATATAAAAATATTTTTGAAGTTTACCATTTTATATAATTACTATTTACTAGTATTTAGACCCGTGCAAAGTACGGATCCTAAAAGATTTTTTTTTGTTTATTCTTTCGCGGTCTTTGACATAAAATCATTCTAAAACATATAGATGTACATTATGCTAGAGAGGAACCCAAAGAATCATATTTAAACTTCTTCAGATGTTTGTTGTAATGCGTAAAACTTAAGTTATTATGACAATGTTAAATTCAAAAACAACTAAAGAAAGAAGGAACAATGTAACAGATTCATGTTTCTTTTATAGATTCATATTAAACCTGAAACATATCCGCTTGAAGTATATGATATAACGAAGCAAGCATTTGATACCATAAATCCCCTGCCACCTTCCCTTACTTGCTGACAGGTTGGTTACATACATTGTTAACAGCCCCAAACAAATGTTACTACTAACAAACAAAGTTTCCAAATCTTAAGCACAAAACACACTTATATTTAGTGAAAATTCTATACATCAGAAAAAATTACAAAAGCAACCTGCACATGGAAACATAGTTTTTATACAAATAAGAGATTTGTAGACGCAACACCAGAAATGTAACCGGGTCATCAGCAACAATATACACAGCTTTGTATCAGCTACTATTTAGCCCAGTAGCATCATTTGTATCAGTTACCATATCGGCAACAACAGGAGGGCCATTGACAGCAGCAACAACAGGATCAACATTTTCTATCCTCCTTTTTTTGTGCCTGCTGTTGCACATTAGCTCCTGGAATCTGCAGGGAACATTATCCATCCAAAAAAAGCAAAAGTGTTTAATCTTTACCCAATTTTCCAGAGCATGACTCTTTTTATTCTTAAAAATTCTGTTATTACGTTCATGCCAAACCAACCATAATAATGCATCCACAAAAATACACCAACAAACTCTTTTATATTCAGGAATTTTATCAATTCTCCACCAAGGCCATAAACCTCTTAGGTCGTCAATATTTTCATGAACTTAAAAGTTATGCAAAAGAGATCTCCAAAGAGAAGAAAGATAATCACAATTTAAGAACAAATGAGAACATGTTTCGTCTAGACGTGAAATTATGAAGGGCCTCTTGATAATATTATCGATCTGAAACATATTGGACAGAGGAGAAGCTCCTATACTTCAAGCGGCTATGTTTTGTGAGTGTAAAGAAACTATAGAAATGATATGTGAATGATAAATCAAGATAGAAATTATATGTGAACGCAAAGGATACAAAAATTGTACCGATGTCAAATTTCTTGTGAGTCTCTCTGATTATCGATCTGCATCAATTAAGAATAGAAACCAATCAGCAATAAAAGTTCAATAGACTCACTGAAGTAGTAATAATTCCAATTACAAATTTGTGAAAACGGGGCTAAAATCCAACAGTTTAAGTTAAAAGACTTTCAAATAATTCAATGTCTACATACATTTCATCATAATAGTTTTTGAAATCTTCACGTGCCTCAAATCAAGCCAAAAGAACCCTAGAACCAAACTTCCAACAGTTGAATTACAGAAAAAACAACAAATAAGGAATCAAAAACTTATACAGACAACATATAAGATCCTTATTCAAATTAGGGCTTAAACTACCCTACAAAATAAGAGGGAAATGAGATAAATTGTTGCTCGATTGAATGGAAAGAGAGAATTATTGGTTCTCTGGATTTAGGCTTTCTTCGTCCACCTTCTCTTGGTCTCCTAAAAGTTCATCTTCAACTATATTTGATGATAATATGTCAATATTTAGGGTCTTAAAATCTAAATATCAATATACGGATCAAGAGAATTTTTAATTGAACACAACATACTATTGTCTTCTCTTTAGCCCATGAAAAAGTTGGCAAATTACACTAATCAAACTCCAACCTCCAAGATTTCTTCAACAAAATCTATGTTACAAAGTGCCCAATTCCTAAAATGACAATTCCAGCTTTTGACATACCATCACAGATTAGATTAGTGTTTGTAACTATTCAATTAATTTATTAATCTCACAAACACTTTAATGTGTAACATTTTCATGTATAAACAGAACATCAATTTTACTTTTCAACAAAAACCCTAATTTACCTTAAATTGGCTGGGAAAGGAGAATTCTTTAATCTCTTCTGATGATCAGAGATTAAATCAGCCATCTTTTGAGCGATCCCTCCCAGTCCCTCTCCATCCGTCGACACCGACTTCATTGAACCCCACATAAAACCTAAAAATTAGAAACAAAATCCAAAGAAAACGGTGGAATCTGGATATGAATAACAATATTACGAAGAAATAAATGGAAATTAAATGGGTATTCTCATTATTTTTTATTTAATTTTAGACTAATTAACAGTTAATTTCGCATGATAAAGATTGATTTACATGTGATTAAAGATAGATTTACAGGAGATTGTCTCTCGAGGGAGATAGAAATCAAAGAAAGCTTTCTTTCTTTCCCTTTACTCTTTTTTCTCAAACATGCACCAATTCTACCCTTTCATAGCTAGGCCTTGAGAATAAAGTTCGCTGCAGTTTTCGAACTGTGATATTTCAGTTTTACTAACTACAGAAACACAGTCTTTTTGACTGCACAGCTACAGTTTTCTATTGAAGTTTTACAGTATTTCAAAACAACAAAGATATTGAAAATTCCAGCATAACCTTTTCAAGAAATATATTTTCAATATTTCAAAAATACAATAAAAACAATGATTTGTCCATAAGCTCAAACTGGATCTCTTATTTGTTACTAAAACTGCAACAACAATCTAGTTTCTAACAAATATGAAAACCAAAAAATAGTTTAGCTTGATTGAAAATAAAAAGATGATTCTTAATATTGTTTTTCGCATATACTGCAGAAATGAAGATCATTGGGTAAATAGATGGTAGAAACTTGCAATCTTCAATTTATATTAATTTTCTTCAATGAGCTAATGCAAGCAAAACTATATAAAACAACTTCAACGGAATGTTTGTTTTCTAAAGGGTAGTAGTATTTCATCCAGAAGACAAACCATCGGAAGGAGCACATGATGGAATAATACAATCAAAATGATAAACTTCCAGAAAATGATTGTTGTTTGTGCTGAGATAGTAATAGATAAAAAAAATCATGCAGAGTATACTGATAATATGGATTGCGAAAGTAGTAAGAAACATATAGAAATAAAGAGACAATGGTAACTCCAGAACAATTGTAACTCCAGAACTCACAGATTAATGGATGCCATGATAGAGTTCATTGGCTGAATGGAAGAGTCCTTGGAAGAATTAAGAACGCAAAGCATTGAGGCTTTCTGTGCGGTTTTCCTTAATTTGATGCTTACATTGAGGTATTCGCTGCAGTTTTCAAACTGTGATATTACAGTTTTACTAACTACAAAAACGCAGTCTTTTTGACTGCACAACTGCAGTTTTCTATTGAAGTTTTGCAATATTTCAAAACAACAAAGATATTGAAAATTCCAGCATAACCTTTTCAAGAAATATCTTTTCAATATTTTGAAACTCATGTGAAGGTTACAGCCTTTGAAAGAATGTCAATATTACAGGGTTTTTAAGAAGACTATATAGCAGTAATAACAATAACTACACAGTTCACATGTACATTCTACATCAAAATCATATCATTAATCATGCGAAGGTTAGACATGCTACCTATCAGAAATTTTCTTAGTCGGATTTATAAATCTAAATGCATAATCTACAAACAGTAGCATATTTTGATAAACATATACGAGATGAGATAAACTCTTATGTTTAGTTATAAACCTACTTGACTAAATTTACTTTTCAACAAAAAACCCTAATTTACCTTAAATTGGCTAGGAAAGGGGAATTCTTTAATCTCTTCTGATGATCAGAGATGAAATCAACCATCTTTTGAGCGATCCCTCCCAGCCCCTCTCCATCCATTGACACCGACTTCAATGAATCCCACATAAAACCCAAAAATTAGAAACAAAATCCAAAGAAAACGGTGGAATCTGGATATGAATAACAATATTACGAAGAAATAAATGGAAATTAAATCCTTCTTCCTCTTGGCGGTGGAATCTGGATATGAATAACAATATTACGAAGAAATAAATGGAAATTA